GTTAGTCATGGTCTTTCCTGGTGAGTACCCAAAGAACCAAATATGCCTGTCCCCATTTCATAATCCCATAAATTATAGATTCCTTTTGTTATTACACTGCCTCCCCCAAGATACCACAAGGAACTGGGCTAACTAGGGAAGGTCTCATTGAAGAGATGGAATACATTTCAGGGCTAGACAGATTTTTGAATAGCATACCCATTCTTCTGCTAGACAGGAAAATTAATTTCAGATCTAGGGGGCAGAATAATGAGAGTAGCGTCCAGCAAAAAGATTCTGCTAGCCATCGCCCCTAAACTTGAGCAGACTGAACCACAGCTTAAGGAACACTAAACTTTATGCCTAACCAGTGAACAGTGCCTGCTTATGTGTGCATAATACCGTCACACCACAACTTGTCTAATGCTATTTTAACCACTTGGACTGAGATGCCGAAATCTCAGTAAAGCATTCTCCCCACCTACCTACTCACCCACCTGACCATGAGCCCTCAGGCCACTCCCACACAAGCCTTTCCTTGACTGAGCTGGTGAGTGACATACATGGAGGCAGTGTAGTAGAGGAATGAAGGCTGTATTTGGACTCAGAAGATCCAGGATCAGCACTGATACTACTTATGCAACTTTGAGCAAGTGACTTAAGGTCTCTGAGCTTTGGTTTCCCTTTCTGTACAATGGAGGAAATAGTACATTCCCTACCTCACAAGGTTGTATTTCCCATTACAAGGAAAGCATTTTCTTAAAAATGTGTTATTATTGTATGGAACCTTCTTCTGCAGAGTCATTCATTCATCCAACGTCTTACCTAAGCAAACCTCATTTTGCATCACTAGTGGGATTGCTTCTATACTGGAGCTCCCAGAGAAATCAGATACCCTGATGCTTAATCATAAGGGCAGGGCCATAACCACATTGGGCCCTTTGAGGCCACTACCCCATTTTAGTACAATTAGGGCTTAGGTAATACATCCCCAAACACATACAAATACACACACACACACACACACACACACACACACCCCACCACCACCACCACCACCACCCATACTTATGCAAAAGACAGTTGAGAGAGATATTATGCAGTATTCTGAGGATTAAAAATATTTACTGTTGTAGCTACAGAAGGCCCAAGACTCTCAACCATCTTCTTGTAGTGAATCAATGGGTGGAGGAAAATGCATCCAAGTATTCTCTAGTATGCCCTTATCCCATCTTTTCCTAACCATGCTATCAATTAACATCAGGCCAGACAATTACTAAGTAACAGACCCAGAGAAAATGGTAGCTAGGTACCTCAGAGAAAATAAATATTAGACTTGGGGTCCAGAAGAACTGCATGTAGGGGCAGCTAGGTGGCGCAGTGGATAGAGCATCAGCCCTGAAGTCAGAAGGACCTCAGTTCCAATCCAACCTCAGACCAAATACTTGACACTTACTATCTGTGTGACCCTGGGCAAGTCACTTAACCCCAATTGCCTAAAAATAAATTTAAAAAAAAAGAGAAGAACTGAGTTTGAATCCTACCTCAGACACTTCCTAACTGTGTGACCCTAAATACAGGGGTCTTAACTTCTCTCAGCTTCAGTTTCCTCATCTGTAAAAAATTGAGATGATAATACTTGAAGGCTTGTTGTGAGAATAAAATGAGATGATATATGTAAAGTACTTTGCAAACCTTAAAGCTATATATAAATATTAACTATAAAGATTGTTATTGGCTGAATTTTGTTAAAAACAGTGTAGTCATCCAGTGATATTAGTATGCCTCATCACTGCTTCTAGGGCCTTACAAAATGCCTACATACAGCACAACATAAGAGCTTGTTACTTTTTCCCTCCAATTTGGTATCAATCTCCAAAATTCCTGATGAATGACTATAGGTCAGATATTATATTTGCTCGTGGTATAATAACAATGAAGAGTCAGACCCCTCCATAGTGCTCAGAGTTTTAGACTCTGAGTCCCAAGACCTAAGGTTACATTCTTAGCTCAGACAGTGGTTCACTCTTGGTCTTAGGCCAACAATCTCCCCTCTCTGTGCCTAGGTTTTCCCATTGGCAAATAGAGACAATGCCTATCCCATCATTGCCTTCTCCATCCCGTGCAAGTTCTTAAAGGAATGTTGAAATGGAGCAATAATTCTGTGATAGAGAGCTCCAGCATTCTCCAAGATAGTTGCAGCTATCTCTAAGATATTTTTCCTTCTAAAAACAGCCTGTCTTACTAGTCAATCCCGTTCACCCTTTTTTGATAATCGCTTGCCTAGGCTTTTTGCAGGTCCAAATGTCCATCACATTCATAGTTGGAAGACTGGAATAGTCTTGTCCAAGTCCCAATGATTCACAAAGTGGGCAGAGGCAACCCCTCAGGCAAACACTTTCCCCTTCCCCACTTGTACATAAAATCAGTGACATTGGATAGGTTTGGGGTACGTATCAAAACTCCTCCCCCTCCCCTTTCCTGATTAATGAGCTTTATTTCCTATTCCTACGCAGTGCTCTAACTCATAAAGCACTCTTTTTTTCTTTAGAACAGCACCTGCCTGTTACCTAATCCTCTCTCTAGAATGGTTCCCATTTTAAAAGGGATTTGCTTACACACAAAGTTAAGTAAATGAGCTGATCTCCAGCTGAAAAATGATCTCTCTTCATCTCCACTCCTCTGAGTTTCATCTTTTTAAGGATTAATACTGCATTGCCAGACTAGTCCAAAGAACATTCTTAGAGGTAGTGTGGCAGCTAGGTGGCTCACTGGGCCTGGAGTCAGCAAGACTCAAGTTCAAATCTAGCCTCAGACACTCACTAACTGTGTGACCTTGGGCAAGTCACTTGCCCTCTGTTTGTCTTAATCCACTGGAGAAGGAAACGGCAAATCACTCCAGTGTCCTTGCCAAGAAAAGGGTCACAAAGGGTCACACAAGAGTTGGGTCACAATGGGGTCACAAAGAGTTGAACATAACTGAATGACTGAACAACAAAGCGTGGTCTAGTGAAAATACACTGTTCTGGGAGTTAGGAGACCTGAGTTCTAGTTCCATCTCTTATACACACTTGCTCTGTGACCACAGGCAAACTCATTTACCTTCCCTGAGCCTGAGTTTAATCACCTGTAAAAATAAAGCAATTGAAATAGGTGATCTTTAAGGACCCTCCCAGTTCTGACATTCTATGAATCTATAATTTATACTTTAAGCACAGAGAAGTAACTTGCTATCTGAATTTGGGGAACGTCACTGCCTTCATTACACAGAAGCATAATATCCAGTGAAAACCAGACTGACCACCTAAGCCATCCAAATTTGAAGAGAATAAAAAAAAATGCATGACATTCTCATTCTTCCTAATGAGACAAAGATGACCTAGTTGGACACAGTACAATTCTCCGGGATTATACCTGAGTTGAGGTGTCTAGGGAATACTTGGCCAATACCTGTCACGCCCTCAGCTACCCAACAGAATCTACATAGGCTGAGATCTCAGGTAAAACTTTTGCTCAGATGAACTGGAATTAACTGCATCTTAACATAGTTAACAAATGCAACAAAGGTGGCAGGGAGAGGCCAATGAGAAGTTATCCGAAATTCTGGTCAAAAGTCATTGTGTTTTCACTGGTTATTTCCTATGACTATTTAAGGAAGCATGAATGATTCCAGCAGAGCAAAATAGAGCAAACTAATTGCTAATCAGAGCAGCTAGGTGGTGCAGTGGATAAGAGTGCTGGGCCTGGAGTCAGGAAGATATCTCCCTGAGATCAAATCTAGTCTCAGATATTTACTAACTGTGTGGCCCTGGGCAAGTCACTTAACCCTGTTCACTTCAGTTTCCTCATTTGTAAAATGTCCTCTAGAAGGAAATGGCAAACCACTCTAGTAACTTTGTCAAGAAAACCCTAAATGTTTAGGGGCAGCTCGGTGGCGCAGTGGATAGAGCACTGGCCCTGGAGTCAGGAGGACCTGAGTTCAAATCCAGCCTCAGACACATAACACTCATTAGTTGTGTGACCCTGGGCAAGTCACTTAATCCCAAATGCCTCACCAAAAAAAACAACAACAACAACAAAAAAAACCAAACCCTAAATGGTATCATGAAGAGTCAGACATGACTGAAAAACAATGGAACTGATTTTCAGACAGTTACTATTGAACTGATAAGTCAGGAAAATACTGTAGACATATTGTATCCAAACTTTGAAAAACACTTGATAGTGTTTAACCTGATATTGGAGAAATGTGGGCTAACGGCAGTCAATTTGAGGAGTTTCATAGCTGGTTGAACCCAAACAATACTAATCAATGGACTGATGTCAAACTAGAGAAAGTTTTCTACTGAAGAGCCATAGGGTATTGGTCCTTTTCACAGTTTTATTAACAATTTGATTGAAGAAACCAATACTCTTCTTATCACATTAGCAATGACAAAAAGCTAGAGGGGTAACTATAACTTTAGGTGAGAGAATAAAGATCTAAAACAGTCTCCATAGTGTATGAGCTGCCTTTTGAGTTAGTGAGCTCCTTATCATATGCCTTATTATACACAGCTAGGTGGACACTGCGGATAGTGTGTTCGACTTCAATCAGGAAGACCTGAGTTCAAATCTGGCCTCAGACTCTTATTAGCTATGTGACCCTGAGCGAGTCACTTAACAATTTGCCTCAGTTACCTCATCTGTAAAGTGGGGATAATAATAGAATCTACTTCCCAGGTTTGCTGTGAGCATCAAATGAGATAATTGTAAAGCATTTAGCACAGCACCTGGCACATGTTCTTGCTCAGTCATTCAATCTTGTCCTACTCTTCATGACCCCATTGACCATAGTACACCAATACTGTCTATGAAGTTTTCTTGGCAAAGATACTGGAGTGCTCTGCCATTTCCTTCTCCAATGGATTAAGGTAAACAGAGATTAAATGACTTGCCCAGGGTCACACAGCTAGTAAGTATCTGGGGCTGGATTTGAACTTGAGTCTTGCTGATGCAAGGCCTGGTGCTCTGTCCACTGAGCCACCTAGCTATCTCCACCTAGCACATAGTAAGTGTTTGATAAATTCTTATTTCCCTCCTTATCCATCTTGGAATTTCTACCCATAATTCCCAGTTATCCTCTCTGGAACCAGAGAGAGCAAATTTGATCCCTCTTGCATATGACAGATTTCCAAATATTTGGAGACTACTATCTCACCCCACCCCCAGCCTTTTTTTCACCTCCAAGCTAAAGTTTACAAATTTTTTTCAACTGATCCTTAAAGGACCTTTATTCAAGGCCTTTTAACATCCTGGTTATCCTTCAGCTTATCACTGTACTTCCTAAAATATGTCACCCAGGATTAAACACAATAAACCAGCTAAAAGTACAGCAGGATGAATACTTTATCATAATCGGAATCAAGCCTTTTAATGCAACCCAAGTTCACATTAGCTTTTTACCGATGTATACATCACACTTAAAACTCACATTGAGCTTGTAGTCCACTAAAATCACTGAGATCTTTTTCAGACTTATTGCTACCTAGTACTGCCTTCCCCATCTTATACTTATGAAATCTGTTTCTTGAACTCAAGTGCAAAACTGTGTCCAGGGGTGTGCTAAAGTCAGTTCAAACAAACTTGGGAGCACCAATTATTAAATTTTCATTGTGAGCATTTACATCTCAAAAATCAGCAAGTGCTACAAATCAGAGTATATTACTGTTGTGTTGATCATCCAGACTTAAGAAGGTAATGAGGAAAATGTTAAGAATGCAGATTAAACTTAAAAGTGACCTGTGTACATTTTTTTTCAGAGAGCTGGTTGCTAAACAATTACTACTACACCCCTGCATTTATCCCTATTACATTTGATCTTATTGGTTTTGGCCCAATATTGTAGTCTATCAAGATTTTTTTTTCTGTCTAGACTTTGTCATCTAGTAATGTTAGCTAATACTCCCAGTTTTGTATCATCTGAAAATTGAGTAAGCATGTCATCTAGTCCTTTTCCCAAAGTACTGATGAAAATGTTTTGGCAGAGACAAGCATGGACTTCTGGGACACTCTACTGGAGACTTGACATGGCATCATTAAGTCTTTAAGTCTGTTCATTCAACCAGCTCTGAATCTATCTAATTGGACTATCTAATTGGGGACTCTATGTTTTCTATCATCAGAGCCCACATCTCCCTATTTTCTCTCCACAAAATCCCTTTCCATTCCAAGATTCTTTGAAAGTGGCCCACGCAAGACCTGGCCAAGATGGCAAATCTGATTCTTTGCAGAAGAGCAGAAAGATCTAAAACAACAGGGTGTAGTCTCACTGTCCATACTATCTTTCCCAGTATAACATAAAGATATTCAAACACCACACATTTTGGACATATAAATTGTTGATTAGAAGGGGAAATACTTAGCGTCCCTGAAAAGCAGAGACAGAGACAGTGCTCAGCAGTCTGACTCTCCCTCTAGTCACTGCCTCCCCCCCCCCAAAAAAAAATCCACATAAATTAGAAGTTTCCTTCATATGTCCAAATGCAAAGAAGGCAAGATGAAGTCTGTTTCCTCTCTTGGAATCTTCTCCTCCAGAAGTAAGGATGCCCTGCTAGGAAAGATGAACAAAATAGTCAGTTATGAGCAATAAAACATAAAGTTCTCCACCCAACACCACATCCATCAATAGTTATGGAATTATGGAATCCAAGAATGTCAGACTCATAACGGACCTTGAGGATTATCTCCAGAGGTATAAAATTCAAGGCCAGATTGGGCCAAACTGCCTGTAAAATTTCTCCTGCAGTCCCAACCAGTTAAAATGTTACTGGGAAATTTTTCACAAAATGAATAAAAACATAATACAATGTAGATAATGTTAATTTGTGGTTTTCTGGGTCAATATAGGGTACAAGGATAGGTTAACATTTGAATTTGACACCATTAATTAGTCCAGCCCCATTATTTTATAGGTGAAGAAAGTGAGGCATAATATTGGCATGACAACTAGAACCCTGAATTCTTGATTCTTCTAAGGTGATGACCATTGGATTGTAGTATCACAAATTTAGAAATGGAAGGGACTTTAGAAGTCCCCTACTCCAATTCTTTTGTTTTATAGATGAGGAAACTGAGACCCAGAGAAATGAAACAACTTGCCCAAGGTCACACAGTATCCTAATAGCCCAGTTATTTTAACAATCTTCCTTTCATTTTCACTCTCCTTGAGAAATGTCTGATGAAATTAGTTATTTCTATCTGACTGCAAAGCATTCCTACTAAAGATTACCTTTCTCCAAATTTATTAATGACTCTCTCTAGTAAAGAATAACTCCTTTGCATAATTAGCACTTTCTTTGTCAAAAGTCCTAGGTTGGTTAGTGATGCCTAAGAACTGCCAGACTTTCAAAAGGATGAATACAGGCCCTTGGGTTGACCCTGAGTCAGAGATTTTTGCTGTCTCTAGGACTTGTCCTCATACACGGCAGTATGGATTTAGCCATCAAACTACAACTATTGCTTTTTGTTGTTCAGTCATTTCAGTCCTGTCTGACTCTTCGTGACTCCATTTGGGGTTTTCTTGGCAAAAATACTGGAGTGGTTTGCCACTTCTCCAGCTCATTTTACAGATGAGAAAACTGAGGCGAATAGGAATAAGTGACTTATCCAGGGTCACACAACTACAAGATGAATATTCCTGACTCCAGGACTGGCACTCTATCGACTGTGCCATCTAGCTGCTATCAGTCATAATGCTACCCATGTCAAAAAGTTTAACAAAATTCATTCAGATAATACTACACACTTGCTGTATTCAGAGCACTTTGGTAGATGCTAAGGGACATACAATGCTCATCATCAGCATTATTATACTTTGTAACTTTCTGCCACAACAAAAACCTTAAGGACCTGATGTTTCAGACCTGATGCTGACACTTCCTGTGTGACCTTGGGCAAGTCATTCGGTCATCAAAGTCATCATCATCATTATTATCACCACCACCATCATCCACAAGCTTTTATTAACAACCTACTATGTGCCAGGCATTGTGCTAAGCCTCACAAACACAAATAAAGGGAAAAATACAATTTCTGTTCTCAAGGAGCTCATATTGGGAGAAACAACATGCAAACAACTGTGTATGTACAAGATATATACAATGTAAATAGAAGGTGATCTCAGAAAGAAGAAACCAGCAGTGGGAGTTTCAAATTTGTATTTAAATCTGTGCCCTAAGCATTGTTCTGGTTAACTCAGTTGACAAATGGCCTTGGAAATTGAACTGGGCCCATGGCAGAAAATACCAACTGTTTTCTCTCTGTTATATTTAACTATTTCTTCAAAGAAAAGTTTCCATCAAGGCCTTCCAATAAAAAGTCTAGAATCCTGTGCTTGATACTTTTCATCAATTATTTTCTGTATTCCATCTGTTGGAGATGCAGCTCAGCTGAATGTTCACGTAGTTAGGTTGGTTCTCCTGCCAAAGCTTGTTACACGGCATACAGAGTAAATCTGCAAACCAATGTAAGGACTAGATGTTCCTGCACACTCAGATGAAATATAGTCTTCTGAGCTTGTACGGTTTCCAGTCATCCAGCAATGGGTTGATTGATGCAAAAGGAGTCACTCTAGGGTCTTTCCTTCGGGTCTCAGCTTCTTCATCTTTAGAATGAAGAAGTTGCACGAGGTGACCTTTAAAAATCCCTTCCAGTTCTAAAAGTATGATGCTAAGATCCTAGGGTCATCATCTGAGAAGAATGAGATTGTAACAACAATTGACTTTATGTGCTTTGCAGATTGCAACATAACATACATATGCTGTCATGGATGGATTTATAATTCACAAGATGTCATCAACACAGATGCACAATCTACCTTCAAGTTGCAGCTCTGCCACTTTGCCTGTGTGACCATAGGCAAATCATTATGTCTCTAAGGCCCACATTTTCTCATCTGCAGCATGAGATGGTTGGATTAGAAGACATTTAAGGTGCCATCTAGGTGCAGCTAGGGTGGCACAGTGGATAGAGTACCGGACTGGGAGTTGAAAACACTTATCTTCCTGAGTTCAAATATGGCTTCAGACACTTACTACCAGCGTGACCCTGGGCAAGTCATTTAATGCTGTTTGCCTCGATTTCCATATCTGCAAAATGAGCTGGAGTAGGAAATGGCAAATGACTCTAGGATCTTTGCCAGGAAGACCCCAAATGGGATTACAAAGAGTCAGACTCAACTAAAAAACAAATTTAAGAAGGTGGCATCTAGTTCTGACCTTATATGAGATTGATATAGCCTCAAGTTTTGGAGGTGGAATGGCTAAATTGGGCTGCTTCCAGCAAATGCTGCAGTCCTGGGAGGTTTGGGGCTAGAAAGAAAGGAGAATTCAGTAGATGGACACTTCCCTCCCCCACCCCTAAAACAAAGAAACTAGTCTAATTCCTAGGCTGCTAGGAAAATTCTGGGGTGCCTATCTTGGGATTTGTATAATGTGCACACTAATGACTTAGAAGTTTATATACATTCCCAACTGCTACTAAGTGAAAATGTTTTCAGTATGGAAATGCGTTTTACATGAGTAAAAATGGTCTTTATGGTATAGCTTTTCAAAGAAATTGCTTATGGGAGATATGCCAACTTGAGTATCCTTCCTTTGTACTCACCTTCAGTGGTACGCAAGTTAGTGTGACTCTTTGGTGGGATGATGTGACGATTCAGAAGAAAAATGCTATTGGGAAAGAAAACACAATTAGAGTCCCCAAGATTATCACTCAAGCAAAAATTAATGGTGAACAATTAATCATCTTAATTATCTATGACTACCAAGGACAGCAATGGCATAGAAAACTGAAATCCTCAGCTAATGGTTTTAGCTTTTACTCACAGCCCTTTCCCTTTATTATCAGAACTGCTGACAAATAACAAAAGAGGCTTATTTAAGTGTTTTCTCCCGCCTCTGACCTTGGCTATTCTCTGGAAAGGGTACAAATTGTATGAGTAAGGGGCACTTAAAAGTCCCAGATGTCAAAATATCTTCCCTCCCCCAACTGGTCTCTATGATGCCTCCTTTACCTATTTTTTTTTTATTTACATGGAAGATTTTCCAGAGATTTCCAGTTTTCATGTCTTATGATATTTTATTTCTTATATCTCATCCAAACCCCTCTTTAAACATATTTTTTTTACTCAATGGCCAACTGCTTGAACATGATTAAAACTAGAAAAATGATAACTAATTAAACTTATAAACATTTAAATAAGATGAGATTTCTACCTCTGATAGTCTGGACAGCCATTTTACAGAAGATATTCTGACCTTTAAGGCATCTCTTATCTGTAAATTAAAAAAAAAATCATTAGCATTCTCTCCATTAAATTATTTGGCACATATTTTGTATTTACTTACTTGTGTATTTGTTGTACCCCACCCTCTTGGGGCACAGGAACAGAGACATTTATAAATCCTCCCCAGGGTTCATCAGTTGGTATTCATTAAAGCACCATATTCAATATGCTCAGCACTGATGTGAAAAAGAAAACTAGAAAAACCACACCAGGGATACTGTCTCTATTTTATAGGATAAGTAACAAGGGGCCTGTGAAACAATGGGGTCCTGGCCTGCCATGCAAAAGCAGTGGAACTTTGGGCTTTTGAGATCACTTTTAGTTACTAATGATTGGTCTTTTCACTTGCTTCTCTTGTTCCACCTATCCCTGCTCCTTTCTCCTTATACAAATTAATCCACTGTTCTGGGCTCCACTCGAGCCCTATTTCCTTAATAAAGGAGGAAACCTGGACCACTTTGGCCTCATCTCACCCTTTCCTAAAGGACAGAATCATAGAATCTCTACACTAGAAGGACTTTCAGAGGTCATTAAGTCCAACCTCTACTTGAAGCAAGAATAAAGGAAGGGAAATTATGTCCAATGGAGCTGAAAAGAATGACTGGGGCCAGGTTGGATAAAACTTTAAAAGTTAAACTGAGGAACCTCGAAGTAGGAAACCACTGGAATTTATTGAGTAGGGGAATGACATGATTAGATCTGTGCTTAAGGAAAAATTACTTTGTTCACTGTATGCACAAAGGACTGCAGTACCAGAGGTTTGAGGGAAGGAACACAATTAGGAGGCCATTACAATAATCTAAGTCAGAGGTGATTAAGGCCTCAACTAAAGTGGCAGCTGTGTGAGTGGAGAAAAGAGGCCATATGTGAGAGACGTTGTAAAAGTGGAAATGGCAAGATGTGACAGCTGACTGCTTAGGGAAAATGAGAAGTCTGACATAGTGCCAAAATTATGGACCTGGGAAACTGGAATGGTGGTGCCTTCCATAGAAATAGGGTAGTTTGGAAGAGGAAATTTGGGTAGAAAGATGAGTTCAGTTTTAGACCTGTTGAGTTTAAAATATCTGTAGGACTTCCAGTTTGAAATGTCCAATAAGCAGTTGATGACGTAGGACTGAGACAGACAGACAGACAGATAGATAGATAGACAAGATGGATGGATGGATGGATGGATGGAAGGATGAATGGATGGATGGACGAATAATCAGTTGGTGGGCCAGGGGAAGCAAATGAAAAGACAGATCATAATATTCCAGATCTAGAGCTAAAAGATTAGATAGATAGATAGATGATAGACATATTAATATATATTTATTATATATGCATATATTTATGTGTGTGCATGTGTGTATATATATACATGTATACATACGTATAGATGTATACACACACACACACGCACACACACACACATATATAGTTGAATCCACAGAAGCTAACAAGGTTCTCAAGAAAGAGAGTATAATAGAAAGAAAAGGGCCTAAGGCAAACACTGAGAAATATCTATGGTTAGGAGACATGATTTAAATGATAAACTAGCAAAGGATGCTGAGGACAATCTGAAATGCCAGGCAAGAGAGTTTGGACATTCTGTCAATAACAGAGAGTCATGGGGCAGCTAGGTGGCGCGGTGGATAGAGCACCGGCCCTGAAGTCAGGAGGACCTGAGTTCAAATCTGGCCTCAGACCAAACACTTAACATGCGCTAGCTGTGTGACCTTGGGCAAGTCACTTAACCCCAATTGCCTTGCCCCCCCCCAAAAAAAAAAAACAATAACAGAGAGTCATGAAAGGTTTTTGTTTGTTTGTTTGTTTGTTTTTGTTTTTTGTTTTTTTGCTTTTTTAAGGCACAGGAGTGACATGAGCAGGCCTGTACATAAGACATATTATTTTAACAGTTGTGTTGGAATAGTTTGCAGGAGAGTAAGTCTGGAGGCAAGGAGGACCATTGTGAAACAGTTTGCATGAAAGATAACAAAGCCATGTATTAGAGTTTTGGCAGTCAGGATGAAAAAAAGAAGAGCAGATATGACAGATATTACTGAGGCAGAATAGTCAAAACTGCTTGCATGTAGGGAGTGAAGTAGAAGAATAAGTAAAAGGTAACACTCAGACTTCTACTCTGGGTGACTAGAAGGATGACAGTGACAGGAATAGAAAAAGTAAAGTTAGGGAGAATAAGACTTTTTAAGAAATCATTTAAATATATATGTATATATATGTACATATATATTTAAATTTATACCAAAAGTTCCTGTATGCTAGTTAACTTAACCACTGTAACATTAGAGAAGGGCTTTGTACTGTGCTTTCCTTTATCATCATTGTACATATGATAGCATGAACACATTTACAAAAGAATGACTGAAATGAGTAGATAGACAGACTGTCAGTGCCATAAATTTAAAAAACAAAAACAAAAACAAAAACTAGCTACAGTACCTTCTGATCCAGGAACGTTCCAAACGCTAAAATAAAGAAGCCCTTGGAAACAGGAAAGGAAAAGAAGTATTTATAAAAACAAAACAAAACAAAAAAGAAAACAATAAATACAAAATTCAACACTTTGTTTTCTTTTGGAAAACAAAATCATATTTAGATGAAATATTGCTAAATCTTTGAAACACACTAAAATGGTGCATGCCAGAGATCAAAGTATTCTCAGCTGTCTTTTTAAAGAGAGGCAAAGAACTGGTATATTGTACCAGTACAACAGTTTGCCTGGTCCCAATCTGGTCTATGTCTGAAAGAGTGTTGGATATGGGCTCAACAAAGATCTGAGTTTGAGAACTTACAAAAGAAATCAAAGCCATGTGGGAATAGGACAAATTACATGCTATCCTTGTTTTCCTGCCCATAGCTTAGCATAGTGTCTGATACATAGTAGGCATTGTATAAATGCTGATTTCCCTTCTCCTTCATCCTATAGCTACACATAGAGCACACCTGGTAGGAAGGAAGGAGAAAAAAGGAAGGAAGAAGAAAAGGAAGGAAGGAAGGATGGATGGATGGAAGGAAGGAGGGAGGGAGAGAGGAAGGAAATAAAGAAAGAAAAAAGAAGGGAAGAAGGAAGGAAGGGAGGGAAGAGGGAGAAAGGAAACAAGCATTTATCAAACTCTTTTTACCAGACACCATGCTATGCACTTTATAAATATTATTTCATTTGATCATCCCAACAACCTTGGGAGATAAGTGCTATTATTATCCTCATTTTATAGAATCTGAAGCAGACAGAGTTTAAATGACTTGTCCAGGGTCACACAACTAATCTGAGGCCGGATTTAAACTCAAGTCTCCCTGACTCCGTACCCCCATTACTCTACCCAATGGTCCACCTAGCTGCTTCTATGGACCTATCTGCTATTGGAGTAGTCCTAATGATGCTTTAAGCAGGTCTACAAATGATGAGATTGCATCCCCAACATTCTTATTGATTTACAAAAGAGTCATTTTATCCACCTATACAATAGACTGCTGAACATTAAATATAAAGTAATATATAGCAGAATTGTTTCAGGATTTCTATGTTAATGCCATCCGAAAAAAATGAAGAGACAACAGTGATGATGATGACAATAATAATAGCCTGTATTTATATAGTGATTTATCATTTGAACAATGCTTTATATAGATTACCTAAGTGGAATAATTATAGATAACTTCAAACAAGAGAGACAATATGGCATAGCAAATACAAGGCTAGACTGGGAGACAAAAAGACCTTGTTTCAAGTGTTACCTCTGACACATACTAGCTGGGTAACCTTGAGCAAGTCACTAAACCGCTCATAACAGGCAGTTCTCTAGGACTAGCAGTTACAAGAGAATCATCAATCTGCATTAATAGGAACAGTTTCCACATGAGGGTTCCCTACACAAATGAAATTAACAGTTCCAGACAAAACAAACAAGCAAACAAAAAACAATAGCAAAAGTCAAACTTCCAATATGGTTCTGGATTCATGAATCAAAATTAAAGTGAATATGAATGGAGATTAAGTAGGTATTAGAGAAGCCTACTGTGCCCACTTTCAGCCACAGTATTGCAGATATTCTGGACGTGATTAGCCACCAAAGTTTGACACTTAAGCCCATAATGATCAGCATGAGTGGAGTGCCACCAATCATTGTCAATACAATAATTAGAAGTCCCTTATCTGATCCATTGTCTGAAAGGGTTGAAACTGGAGTCAGAAAAAGATTTAGGTTTAAATCCTACCCCTGACATTTACCAGAATGCTCTTGGTTCATTTTCCTCATCTGTAAAATGGGGATAATATTACCTGTAGTACCTACTTCACAGAGTTTAAGAATCAATAGATCAGCAAGTGTTTACTAAGCACTATGCTAGGTGCTAAGAATGCTAAGACAATGAATGAAACAATCCTTACTCCTAAGCAGCCACACAAAGACAAACAGAATAAAAACAAATAAATAGGAAATGGTTGACCATAAGGTAGCTTGGGGAGAAATGTGATAGCAGCTATGGGATCAGGACTGAGATTTTTGTAAAAAAAAAAAAACTTTGAAAACTTTAAAGTGCTATAGAAGTATCAGTAATTAGTTTTATTATTCTCTACAACATATCTTTTCCAAGAAGTTTTCTACCTGTCATACCACAAATACAAACTTTAAAATATCATTTAAAACTCAACCCAACTGGGCTACAGCCAGACCTGCAAGACAGACCAAACTTATGCACAATTACTCAGATACAACTTTGACTCATAAAAACTTAAGAACAACTTGGGTGCAGCTAAGTGGTACAGTGGATAGAGCAATGGCCCTGAAGTCAGGAGGACCTGAGTTCAAAATCGACCTCAGACCAAACACTTGATACTTACTAGCTGTGTGACCCTGGGAAAGTCACTTAACCTCAATTGCAAAAAAAACAAACTAAAAACAACATTTTTAGTAGATGTCACCATCCCAAATATTTATAATCAACAAGCTACATACAATTTCAGAGATCTGGTTGAGATCGAAGTCATGTAGGGAAAAAATGAGGTACATGTCATCTCTACCGTCCTATCTACTACTGTAGTTATACCAAGGATGCTTTCAGTGAATTCTACAGACTACAAGCTTAAATTCTAATTTTTTCATTTAACTACAAAAAGTAGTTATTTTATCCACCAGTGTAGTAGTCCACAGAACACAGAATATAAAAGAATAATAGCAAGATCACGACTTGTCCCAGGATTGCTTCTTTCTGTACCTTACAAAAATATGAGAATAAAATAATAATAATAATAATGATGATGATGATGATGATGATGATGATGATGATGATGTCAGCCCCCTAAAGTATAGGAATAATGTTTTTTAATATATGTCACTATATCAAATAACCATAGCTTCCAAATACATGGAAGAAAAAGGATGGGATCAGAACCCAACTCTTCCTGAGTCTAGGCCTAACATTCTATTGACTAAGCTGTGATACCTCCACACTGCTATTAACATTATGAAATTCTATCTTTACAATACTTCAATGGGCTTTAAGTAATGAATTGTCCAGTAGTATATCAGACCCCACACACTTCCTTCCATGAAACTCCTTAGGATAATTTAATTAGAGCCAGAAGTTTTGAGTTCATATGATCAACTTAGAAATGAGGAAATTGAGGCCCAAAGTTATGCATATATAGAAAGTGGCAGAACCAGAGTTTAAACACAGGTCCTCTGACTAAAAATTCAGCCCTCTTTTGACATCACTATAACTCCTTCTATCTCCTGTGCTTTCTCACTCTCCCCATTAAAATATATCAATAGAATTTATACATACCTGGAAAGCATTAAGTAATGAGAAGATGATGTGGAATGCCAGGGAATTCTTTTCTATGACTATGGCTATTCCAAAGCCCCAGGTCAGTCCCAGCAATGGTGTGAGGATGGCAACATTCTTACTTATTCTCACTATAGTAGCCATTTCTTGAGCTATTGGGCTGCCGATGGAAGGTCGCTGAGTCTTTACTATGACTATTCCTACTGTGATCAAGTTCATCACCACGATGGCCAGGGCTGGGACAACAAAGGCAAGTAGGGCTTTGGTATTATCCCAGTTGAGCCAACAGGTCATGGGTCGCACATAGCCTTGGCCTGGTTCAGTGGCAGCAACTGTAATGACAGCAATTATCAAAGGACACCCATATCCTACAGAGAAGGCAGAAGTCATTACAACAGACTTTGGTATAGTATGAAAAACGATCACAATTCCATAAAGGATGAGAAGTGCCATCACGAACATCCAGAAAAAAACAGAGAGGTAAAAGAAGTGAATAAAAAAGGTAACAGCCACACAACCATTATGGTGTTGTGCTAGATTGCTAAAGAGGGAAGCTACAATGAAGCCCGTATCTGCCATCAGAAGTGTGGCAGCAATGTTCACGATGCAAACGTGGCGTAAGTATGAGATCTCTGTCTTCATTACCTGGCGCCAGACCATGGCCTCAATGATTAAGCAAAGAATTAAACTACCAATTGAGATGCCCAGGCCAATATACATGATATAAAGCAGAACTGTGCTCTCAGGGACATGGGGCGACATAAGAATTGAGAAAGAAGTAAATCTCTTGTTTGATTGACAACTACAAAGAGTCTGGTCCATGCCATCCAGGGCCATTTCACAGGCTTCCTCATCCCACTTATTCTCTGTCGGGTGCCAGCCAACACACTGTGTTCTGCCACCTCTAAATTTGGTGATCTTGTCAAAAACCAGTGAGATCCTTTGGAGCTCCTTGGGCAAGATGACAGACAGAATGAGACCATTCACAGTGACATTCTCAAAGAAACTGGCTTCCAAGATGGCCCCTAGTGTGGGGAAGGCAATGCTGATGGCTTGGGAAGGCAAAGATAGCTTCTGAAGCTCTTCCTGTGGGAGAAGCACCAACCCGGTGACTTCATTCTCAGTATCATTCACCTTCATGGAAAAACTCAAACTCTCTTGGCCACTGTCTTTTGATATGTTGATGCCCAGGATGTGAATGAATTCTTCTGAGATGTCAAGGGAATGTTCATGTAGTAAGAGGTTCTTCACAAAAGAAATCATTGACTGCAACAGGATAGAGCTACTGCTTCTTTCAGGGACAAAGGTCCAGTGTGAGATGCTTCTGCTGTCCAGAATATGATTTGCTATGATGCTGTAGCTCTACAAAGGAACATTATGTGTTAACTAGGTAATGATGATAACAGCAACTACAATAATGGATGTTTCTAAAGCACTTGAATGTTCCCAAAAATGCCTTGCATCTATTGTCTCAGCTGAGCCCAACAACAAGCCTGGGAAAGTAATACAAGTGTTATTTATTACACCCATTTTACAGATGAGGAAATAGAAAAACAGAGAAGTGACTTGCTTAGTCACACAAAACTAGTTAGGTATTTGAGCCAAAATTGAAATCTGGTCTTTATTTTTTTTATTTTTATTTTTTTTGGTGAGGCAATTGGGGTTAAGTGACTTGCCCAGGGTCACACAGCTAGTAAGCGTGAAGTGCCTGAGGCTAGATTTGAACTTGGGTCCTCCTGACTCCAAGGCCAGAGCACTGCACCACCTAGCTGCCCCCAAATCTAGTCTTTCTTACTCCAAGTCCAGCACTATATTTTTTACATGTTTCTCTAAGGCCAGTGTTCTTCCCAGTACAACTAGGAGACAGTGGAGAGAGCCCCGGACCTAGAATCAGGAAAACCTAAGTTCAAATCCAGCTTACGACATTTACTCACTGTGTGACCCTGGAAAAATCACTTACCTTCTGTCTTCCTCAATTTCTTCACCTGTAAAATGGGGATGATGATAATAGCACATACCTCCCAGGACTATTGTGAGGATGAAATAAGGTCATATTCTTAAAGCATTTTGTGAATGTGAAAGCACCGTGTAATTGCTAGCTGTTGTTGCTGCTGTCACTACTCTACTACTTCTCCCATGATTGCACAGCCAATAGGTCCCTGGCATGATTTTGACCCGAGTGTTTCCAGCTACAAATACTGCACTCTATCCACACAATACTCTGCCTCCAGCTATAGGACAACTATGTAAGTTATAGGATCACAGACTTGGAACTGGAAGGGGCCTTTGAGGTCATCTAGGTCACCCCTTCATTTTACAAGTAAGGACCGGGTGAATTAACTTCATAGGATCATAACCTCACAGGCTTAGAACCATACGGGACTTTGGAGACTTTCTAATTCAGCCACGTCATTTAACAGATAAGGAAACTCAAGCCCGGGGAGGTTAAGAGACTAATCAAAGATGCCAAAGATATTAAGTGTTGGTGGTACAATTTGAACCCAGGCCATAGGATCATAGATGTAAAGCTGAAATGGACCTCAAAGGCCATCTGGACAACTCCTTCATTATATAGATGAGGAAACTGAAGCCTAGAGAAGAGAGATATAGTGACTTCTTTTTTTGTTTGTTTGTTTGTTTTCTTTTTTACTAGGCAATGGGGTTAAGTGACTTGCCCAGGGTCACACAGCTAGTGTCAAGTGTCTGAGGACAGATTTGAACTCAGGTCCTCCTAACTCCAGGGCCAGAGCTTTATCCACTGCACCACCTAGCTGCCCCCCATATAGTGACCTCTTAAGATCATATAAGCAGTAAGTGACAGAGGCTGCATTTGTATTCAGGTCTTCTGACTCCAAAGTTAGCTCTCTTTCCACTGTGCCATGATGATCTAGGAAGATCCATATACAATTGCCATTTGCTTTGTATATATCTTGTTTTTAATTTTTTCTGTGCATATTGTTTCACCCCAAATAAAATATAAGCTCCTCAATGACAGAGGTGTTTCATTTTTACCTTCATATCCCCAGAACCTAGCACAGAGCCTGGCACACAGTAGGCTCTTAATAAATGCTGGCTGACTTGACTTAGGTGTTTAATAATTGCTTGCTTCATTGACTTGAATTTAAGGAAATAATTGCCAAGGTAACTAACTAACCATCATATAATATTATCATTCTGAAATGTATATAGTTATCTTGTACTGCATATCAGCCTCATTTCTTTGAACCTTAGTTTCCTCTTCTGTAAAATTGGAATATTTGTACTTGGACTTCCTTTTTCACAAAGTTATTTTGAAGAAAGTGTTTTAAAAATCTTAAAGCAATATATAACATACAGAATTGTAATTAGTGATTCTGGCATCCAGGGCAAGGACAACAACATTTTCAGTATGACAAATTCAATTGAAAAGGAATACCTTAGGGAGTGACCTTAGACCTCAATACACAATGATCTATGGGGGAAAGACTCTAGGCATCACCATGTTGCAAAACAGAGACCTTGGGGACACATCCCAAAGAACAGAGATACCCAAAACAATATTCTATTACCAGACCTGCTTTATATTTAAAGGGAATACAGACTTGCTTAAGGTCACAGAAAAAAAAAATCATCTAGTCCTTTCATCAGTCATCAAGTATTAATTAAATGTGTTAGGGCTGCACTCAATCTCAACATGAGCCTAGAAGTCAAATCTTATTACCTATTCAATTCTCTTTTCCCCTCTACCTCACTTCCACCCTTACCACCTCCAACCTTTCTTCAGGTACTCTATCATTTACTAGTTGTATGACTTCAAGCAAGTTCCCTAACCTTTCTAGATCTCAGTTTCCTAATCTATAAAATGGGAACAACTCTAGAGACCTTTTCAATTTAGTTTATGATTCTAGAAATCATCCCCATTCAATTTCAAACTTCAGTTTTTGCTAATTATGGTCTTGAGCTTTGCCAGAAGTCCCTTCCTGCCCTAATGCCCTACAATTCTGATTCTTTTCCACATGGAAAGTTTTTTTGTTTTGTTTTTGTTTGCTTGTTTTTGTGAAGCAATCTGGGTTAAGTGACTTGCCCAGGGTCATGCAAGTAGTACATGTTAAGTGTCTGAGGCAGGATTTGAACTCAGGTCCTCCTGGCTCCAGGGCCAGTGCTCTATCTACTGCACCTTCTATCTACCGTGTGGTTCTTACCACATGGAAAATATTTCTCAACCTTAGCAAGTCATCATGAAGAAGAAGCATATAAGAGGCAACATGGCCAGCTCTCCCCTCTCTATCCCACAGGTACCTCTCATTCCAGTTGGACAACATCCAAATCTTTTGGAAAATATGCAAGGTGACTCACCTGCATCTTAACTTCATCAACATCTTCAGACAACACTCTTGAAATATTATGCAACAGCTCTACGATGACCTCAATGTTTCCTGGTATTTGTGGAGACCTTTGAATGCCTTTAAGTATGCAAGATAAATCCTTTGGACATCTTTGCATCAAAACGTCTGTAATAGTTTCATGTTTTCCTATTTTTGAAGGCGTAGCTGAAAAGATGTTGGGAATTATCTTTGGTGCATCCTAAAAAACAGGAAGGGGGGAGAAAGCACAACACATATATTTATGGTTAGATGATTAAAAAACATTCCTGTTTATAGCTGTGATTTTAGCTTCATTTCTACTGTTCCAGGGGCATACTAAAAGGCTGGGTTACTTGAAGAAAAGAGTAAGATAAACAAAAGGAAATTCTGAAGAAGGTCTAGGAGAGTTCAGCTGGGACACTGGTTGAGAAGAATACTAGAGAGGAAAAGAGAGATGGACCTCTGGATGGTAGCTTTATACAGCTCTGCCCTGGGACTTTGGCACATTAGGACACTAATTTGATGCTGATTGAGCTACCCCATCTAATCACCATCCCTGTGACTCCCTATACCAGAGGCTTCCAAACTTATTTGGCCTCCCGTCCTCTTTTTTTTTAAATTTTTTATTAATTTATTTTGATTTATCAACAATCACTTCCACAAGCTTTTGAGTTTTAAATTTTTCTTCCCCTCCTTCCCCCCCTCCCCAAGACAGCGCACAATCTGATATAGGCTATACATATACATTTCTATTAAACATATTTTCACATTAGTCGTGTTGTAAGGAAGAATTAGAATCAATAGGAGGAACCACCAGTAAGAGGAAACAAAACAAAACGGAAGAAAAAAATAGCAAATAGTATGCTTCAATCTGCATTCAAACTCCACAGTTCTGTCTTTGGATGTGGATAGCATTTTCCATCATGAGACCTTTGGAGATGTCTTAAATCCTTTCATTGCTGAGAACAGCTAAGTCTATCAAAGTTAGTCATCACACAATGTGGCTGTTACTGTGTACGACATTCTTCTGGTTCTGCACACTTCACTCGGCATCAGTTCATATAAGTCTTCCAGGTTTTTCTGAAGTCCACCTGCTCATCATTTCTTATAGCACAATAGTATTCTATTACATTCATATGCCATAACTTGTCCAGCCATTCCCCGATTGATGGGTATCCCCTCAATTTCTAATTCTTTGCCACTACAAAAAGAGCTGCTGGAAATATTTTTGTACATATGGGTCCTTTTCACATTTTTATGATGTCTTTGGGATACAGACCTAGAAGTGCTATTGCTGGATCAAAGGGTATGCACAATTTTATAGCCCTTTGGGTATAGCTCCAAATTGCTCTCCAAAATGGTTGAATCATTTCACAACTCCACCAACAATGCATTAGTGTTCCAATTTTCCCACATCTGCTCCAACATTTATCATTTTCCTGTTTTGTCATGTTGGCCAATCTGATAGGTGTGATGTGGTATCTCAGAGTTGTTTTGATTTGCATTTCTCTAATCAATAGTGATTTAGAGCATTTTTTCATATAACTATAGATGGCTTTAATTTCTTTATCTGAGAACTTCCTGTTCATATCCTTTGACCATTTATCAATTGGGGAATAACTTATATTATTATAAATTTGACTTAATTTTCTATATATTTGAGAAATGAGGCCCTTATCAGAGACGCTGGTTCTAAAAATTCTTTCCCAGTTTTCTACTTCCCTCCTAATCTTGGTTTCATTGACTTTGTGCAAAAACTTTTCAATTTAATGTAATCAAAATTATCCATTTTGCATTTTGAAATGTTCTCTATCTCTTGTTTGGTCACAAATTCTTCTGTTCTCCATAAATCTGACAGATGAACTATTCCTTACTCTCCCAGTTTGCTTATAGCATCAGTCTTTATATCTAAATCATGAACTCATTTTGACTTTATTTTGGTATATGGGATGAGATTTTGGTCTATGCCCAGTTTCTGCCATATTCTTTTACAGTTTTCCCAGAGTTTTTGTCAAATAGTGATTTCTTATCCCAGAAGCTGGGGTCTTTGGGTTTATCAAACAGTAGATTACTGTAGTCATTGACTACTATGTCTTGCATACCTAACTTATTTCACTGATCTACCACTCTATTTCTTATCCAGTACCAAGTAGTTTTGATGAGTGTTGCTTTATAATACAATTTAAGATCTGGTATGGCTAGGCTACCTTCCCCTTCATTTCTTTTCATTAGTTCTCTTGATATTCTGGACCTTTTGTTCTTCCAAATGAATCTTGTTATTATTTTTTCTAGTTCTATAAAATAATTTTTAGTAGTTTGATTGGTATGGTACTGAATAAGTAAATTAGCTTAGGTAGAATTGTCATTTTTATTATATTAGCTCGGCCTACCCAAGAGCAACTGATGTTTTTCAGTTATTTAGATCTGACTTTATTTGTGTGAAAAGTGTTTTATAATTGTGTTCATATAATTCCTGGGTTTGTTTTGGTAGGTAGACTCCTAAATATTTTATAATGTCTACAGTAACTTGAAATGGAATTTCTCTTTCTATCTCTCGCTGGTGGGTTTTGTTGGTAATATATAGAAATGCCAATGATTTATGTGGGTTTATTTTATAGCCTGCAAATTTGCTAAAGTTGTTTATTATTTCAAGTAGTTTTTTACTTGATTCTCTAAGATTCTCTAAGTATATCATTGTATCATCTGCAGAGAGTGATAGCTTTGTTTCTTCTTTGCCTATTCCAATACCTTCAATTTCTTTTTCTTCTCTTATTGCTAAAACTAACATTTCCAGTACATGGTCCAGTTGTATTGAACAACAGTGGAGATAATGGACATCCTTGTTTCACCCCTGATCTTATTGGAAATGACTCTAGCTTGTCCCCATTACACATGATGCTTGCTGAAGGTTTTAGGTAGATGCTACTTATTATTTTAAGGAACACTCCATTTATTCCTATGCTCTGTAGTGTTTTTAATAGGAATGGGTGTTGTATTTTGTCAAAAGCTTTTTCTGCATCTATTGAGATGATAATGTGGTTTCTGTTAATTTTGTTGTTGATTTGATCAATTATGTTGATAGCTTTCCTAATATTGAACCAACCCTGCATTCCTGGTATAAATCCTACCTGGTCATAGTACATTATTCTTGTGATAAGTTGCTGTAATCTATTTGCTAATATTTTATTTAAAATTTTTGCATCTATATTTATTAGGGATATTGGTCTATAATTTTCTTTTTCTGTTGTGACTTTTCCTGGTTTAGGTATCAGCACCATATTTGTAACATAAAAAGAATTTGGTAAGACTCCTTCTTCACCTATTTCCCCAAATAGTCTATATAGTATTGGTATTAATTGTTTTTTAAATGTTTGATAGAATTCGCTACCATCCTCTTTTCAAAAAATAAAATTACTCAATGTTGCTCCCCCTCCCCCAACCCCCAGAAATCTACTTTCTTTAACCCTTTAACTTTTTTTAATTTGCTTCATTTAAAAAAAAAAGACACCTCTTAAATTTAATAATTTATTGTAAATTGTGGGATTTTTTTTCCTGCATTGAAATTTTGATGACACAATATTGCATCATGTAACCATACAGTATCAAATTGTAAACAAGTCTTTACACACATATATTCCTGCTGCAGATGCATGCTGGACTTCCTGACAATACAGGTCAGGCTGGCCTGCCAACACTTGCTTGTTAACACCCGTCCTCAGACTTGACCAATGATCAGTTATAACTTGTATTTTGTGTGTTTATTTGGAAAATAAAGTAATCACTATGACTTTAACTCTGTTACACAACAGATGAAACACGTACAAATGGTTTTTCAAAATTTTCTTATCTTCTCTTGTTTTCCTTATGCTTCCACAGCCCCTTATTTTTATTCAATGCCCACTAATTGCACCCGAGGCTACTACCACCCTCCCTAGAGCCAGCGGCCCCCAGGGAGCGGTACCACCCACTTGGGGAACCTTCCCTGGTCACCACTGGCTACACTCATTGTCTCCCTCATCAGAATATAAGTTAAGAGATTTTTCACTATCTCTCATCACCACTTCCTCCCATAGCCAATATGCTGTTAAGGCCTGTCAATTCCACCTTTGCAATGCTCCCATCTCTCTTCTGATACTACCACCACTCTAGGCCAGATTCTCATCACCTGATGCCTAGACTATTTATTATAACAGCCTACTGATGGGTCTGAAGGCCTTAACTCTACTCCCATTCCAATCCATCTTCCAATCAACCACTAAAGTGATTTTCCTAAAGGGCAGGTCTGATGAGGTCACCATCCCTGCTCAATAAACTCAATAAGCTCCCTATTGCTCCCAGGACCAAATACAAAATCCTCTGTTTGGTATTCAAAGCTCTTTAGAACCTAGCCCCCTCCTACCTTGCCAATCTTCTTACATCTTACTGTCTGACATGTACTCTTTGATCCAGAGACACTGTCCTCTTGGATGTTCTCCAAATAAGACACTCTACCTCTCAGCTCCAGACATTCTCTCTAACTGTCCCCCATGCCTGGAATTCCTTCCTTCTTTCATTCCAACTACTGACCTTCCTGATTTCCTGTAAGTACCAACTAAGATCCCACCTTCTAGAGGAAACCTTCCTCAGCCTTTAATTCCAATGCTCTCCGTCTGTTAATTTTTTCCTATTTATCCTGTACATAGTTTTTTTCATGTATATTTGTTTGCAAATTGTCTCCCCCATTAGATTGTAAACTCCTTGAGGGCGGGGTTGTCTTTTGCCTCTTTTTGTATCCACAGCACTTAGCACAGTGCCTGGCATATAGTAGTCACTTAATAAGTATTTAATGATTGATTGATTAATCCTTGAGGGCAATGACAGTCTCACTTTTGTATTTGTATCCTCAGGACTTGGAACAGTGCCTGGCACATAGTAAGCACTTAATAAAAACTTTCTCATTCATTTGTTCACAGTCAAAGAATTAGCATTATTCATAGAGCAGAGAAATTCTGCCCACTCTAAAATGCATAGTTCATCAAGCAAGAGGAAGTGAAAAAGGGAAGTGTTTTAGAAAACCAAAAATGAAATTTGAAACGATTTAGATTCAGAGAGAAAAACAACCATAGCAGAACAAGGAGCAATTCTCATAAATCTTATGCTGGACAAGATTTAGGTTCTACATGAAGAGAAGGCCATTTTTACACGTAGGCAAGGATTTGATCAGCAGGATCTGAGGCCTTCCAATGGAAAGACTCAAAGACATGAGAGCTGCAAAGGGTACATGGAGACTTTCAAAATTCCACTAAAATATTTACTATGTAAGACCCTTCCTTACCCTTCCAGATCCTAGTACTTTCTCTCCCATGAAATTTATTCAAATTTATTTGGCATATGGGGGCAGTAAGGTCATAAAGTAGATAGAGCTCCTAGCCTAGAGTCAGGAAGACCTGACCTCAAATCTGGCCTCAGACACTTACCATCTGTGTGACCCTGGACAAGTCACTTAACCCTGTTTGCCCCAAATGGGGTCATGAAGAATCAGACACAATTGAACAACAACAACAAAATTTATAGCATTTGACATTTCAAAGAGACTTTCATAGTTTATGTTATTCGGCATGCTAGACCTAAGAAGGCCTCTCATGAGTACAGGGCAATTCTTGGAGGCAGCTAAGTGGCTCAGTGGATAGAGTGCTGGGCTTGGAATTAGGAAGACCTGAGTTCAAACCTGGTCTCAGACACTTAGTAGCTACATGACCTGGCCAAGCCACTTAACCTCTCTTTGCCCTAATCCACTAGAGAAGCAAATGGCAGACCATTCCATTATCTTTGCCAAGAAATCCCCAATGGGGTCACAAAGAGTTGGACTCAACTGAAACAACTCAACAACAAAACTAGAGCATTATCACAGAAAGAAAGAAAAAAAAATATTGTCCACAATCTACTGGACAGAACTTAAATACGCAGATGGACTTGTGATCACCTAAATTTGGAAGTTCCTTTCAATGAGATCATACACAATCAACCCACGCCTACCCATCGGTGCAACTTTTGTGTAAGTTGTTCCATAAACTTGCTACAGGGAAAAAGGACATTTGCTCCAGGTATTTCAAAGTTACCAATAGAACACTCAGGGTGTCCACCTATACCACCCTCTGTATGTAACCAGCTCATTTTCTCTTCTTGTACTTTTCCCTGATGACATTTTTTATTTCTGATCTTTAAAATTCCTCAAGTTATGTTCTGCCTTTTCAGCATTTGTTCACTCACAGTGCTGTGTGATATTCATTTTTTTGATTCTTCAGAGACTACATAAAATTGAGACCCATAAAAATTTAAAACAACATTTTGAATAGGTGTTGCCGTACAAAATGCTCACAATCTCCAAACAGAATGAAGAGCTTTTAAATTCTTCCTCCAGAAAAATAATCAAAACCATGTGGGAACAGGAGGAAGCACATGCTATCCTTTTCATCCTTTCTGCTACTCAAGTCTTCCCAAAAGTGATTACAAAGAGCCTAGAGAAGATGGATTTACATCCCCAAACTTTTAATCAATTACAAAAAATCATTTTATCTACCTGCACAATTGTCCACAGAACATGAAATATAAAAGAACAAATGTCAGGATAGCTACTTGGGATAAGACCATTTCTATATGAACTCCCTTGAAAAAGATGAAATGAATGAGATAAAAATCACCGACATTTATACGGCAAAAGTTTGCAAAGCACTCTATATACATTATGTCACTGATTCCAGAGGGGCATTCAAATCTATATCTCCTACCTCTATGCCCACTGGAATGGCCATTAGAACATGTGTTTGAAAGAAGGTATGTACTCTTACTGGGACAGTCAGGAGAGCAACTTGTCCAAGACTATAGCAAATAAAGTGCAGGCAAGCAAGGAAGGGAAGAGAAAGAGGAGGGAACAAATAATTATTAGGTGCCTACTATGTGCCAAGTAGAGGCAGCAAAGTGTCTCAGTAGATAGAGCACTGGTCCTGGAGTTAGGAAGACCTGAGTTCAAATCTGGACCCTGTGACCCTGGGCAATTCACTTAACCTCTGTTTGCCTTAATCCACTGGAGAAATAAATGGCAAAACACTCTAGCATCTTTGCCAAGAAAACCCCATGAATAGTATTGGCATGACCATGGGGTCACAAGGAGTCAGACACGACTGAACGACGAATGACAACAAATGTGCTAAGCACTGTGCTAAGATCTTAATATTATCTCATTTGATTCTCACAGCTGTGGGAGTTAGGTACCATTATTATCATCATTTCACAGTAGAGGATATTGAGGCAATTAGAGGTCACATTGCTACTAAGTATCTGAGGCTGTGTTTGAACTGAGATCTTCCCAAGAGCACTCTACCCACTGCGTGCACCTAGGGGATATAGCTGTCATGCAACAAAAAGTGAACAGCATCTTAGTGAAGAAATTGTGTGAGGCGACCATCTTCTTGCTATCTTCCTGCTTCCCTTTGTAGTGTGACCTTCCTGACTCTGTGCAGACATTCCCAACTTTGGACCACCATTACAAACTCCTGCTGTTTCCACACTCGCCTAACCCTTGGTTTGGTTTGGTTACCCTATGCATTCTTCTTGACTTGGCAAAGCTTTCTGTTGAGTCTTTCTGAGTGTGAATTAGATCCTAACCTTCCCCCTCAAGAGAGTTCTTTCCCTTAAGACCTGTTAATTGGCCCCTAATCACTGACCAGCTAAACTTCATCTTCTCCCTAGGGGCTAGAGACAGGCATCAACAGAACTAGGTAAAACAGTTGTGGGAAAGAGGTGGGTGAAATGAGAAAAGAGAAAATAATGAAAATTGGAGTTTATGATACTTATACGGAATGTTGGTGGAGATATAGGGTGTCCCAAAAGTCTTAGTGGAGTATTAAGCTGTATTTTGCTTTGTGTAGGAACAGATTCTTTCCCTGTAGCCCATTCAAAGGCCAGACTGTCTTTTACTGCTAAAACAACACAGGTATCTTTCTGGAGAAATAGAGAAAGGGATAGAAGCCCCTTTCATGCCTATTATTCTATTCTATTCACCTCCACAAAATTTAAGTTACCTGGAGGAGGAAAAATTGTTTGTTATCTGAAAAGTTAAGGACTTTAGCGCTGAATTGTTGACCAGGTAAACTGTGTGAAAAGACAAACGCTAATCTCAAGTATGCCATTCAGGCCCTTTCTCTCTTATTCAGACCATGTGACTCATTTAAGGAGGGTACTCTTCACAGCCAACCTGTAATTAAAAAAAAAACAAAAACAAAAACAAAATCTATTCAACAAGAGCAAGAATATTACCTCAAAAATAGTGAGGACGTTAAGTGTTCGGCAAGTATCTGTGGATTTCTGCCATTCTTTATTCCTGCATAGAAACCCTACGTTCCCCTCCAGCCCTGACGCACAGGCTTGAAAGCAGTGTGAATTTTCAACACAGGGACCTTCACAATCTGTTGGGACAAGAAAAGAGAAGAGTATCATCAAAAGAAGACCAAAGATTTAGTCCTAGCTCTACTTACAAACGGGAAATAAACATTAATATAGCACCTACTACCTATCAGGCACTGTGCCAAGCACTTTTACAATTGTTTCCTCAGTTAATCCTCAAAACAACCCGGAAGGTAGAAGCAATTATTATCCCCATTTTATAGGTGAGGAGGATGCAGAGAAAGGATAAATGACTTGCCCGGGGTCACACAGGTAGTAAGTATCTGAGGGCAGATTTGAACTCAGGTCTTCCTGACTCCAGTTCCAGCTCTCTATCTACTTTGCCACTAGCTGCCTAAGTTATGTGACCTCAGACAAGACACTTCATTTCTCTGGGCCTCTAAAATGAGGAGATGGGACTAAGGTCTCTTCTAGCTCTGAAATTCTATATTGGGCTATAAAGAGAGAGTTACCTGTTGTATTTCATTCATTTGGACTCTGATCATTCATGATGAAGAAATGACTCCTGAAGCAGAATAGATGAACAAAGGAGGAGGAAGAAGCAGCCTGGGGCCATAAAAGAGGAGTCTGGATACTCAAGGATATTGACCACCCTCAGACATCATGGGATATTACGCCCACCAAAGTGTGTAGGATACAGCAAGGCACCACAGTAGAGTTCAGGAGATTTACATTCAAAGGAATGGAACTTTCAGACACTTCCTGCTGCCATTATTAGGTACATTGATTGCTTGGATGGGTAGGAGAATGCAAAAGTTGAGAAGAACTCCACATAGCCATGGAAGTGGAGTTCCATCTGGTGTCATGATGGTGAATATTTATCAACCAGCTCTCAAAAAACACATATGTACAACACACTTTTAAGTTGAATCGATGTTAGTAATATTGTCTTCAACACCTTCTTAACTCTAGATAATCTGCAATATAGTAGAGCAAGCCCTGATCTGTATATGTCGAGATTTCTAAGGCATACTCATCCTAAAAATGCAACAATTGGCTCTCATGGGCTGGTATGAGTTGGCTCCAGCACATCTCTGTTCCTAGCTGAGGGGATGCCCCAAATCATAGAGTTTGGAGCTCAAAGAGACTCCCTCATTTTATAGATAAGGAAACTGAGGGCCAGAGAGACAAAAATGATTCTCTCAGGACACATAGTTAGTAGTATAGCCAAGATTTTCAACCACACCTTCTAATTTAAGAACCTAGGTTCATACCTTCTCCAGCCTGCCTGTCACCCAGAGTCCACCAGACACTTCAAGGGCCGAGCAGGAGCAGATGCTGCAGGAAGTACTTCCCTGCCCTCAACCTTCCTGCCTGTTCCCCATTCCCTTTTCCCCTTCCTGGCTAGACATTGACCCTTCCAGAAGAGGAAATCCAGAGTGTTCCTCTCTACTCTGACCTTGAGTGCTGGAGGGTACCTCAAGTCTATGTGGCCACTCATATCACTTGGATGAACCGGGAGACATTAATTACAATCCTTTCAGTATAATGGACTTTCTATCTGCCTTGACAATTAATCAATAATTTCCGTTAGCGTACCTTGTGTTCTGCCAGTCACCTGTACTCTGTTTTTATTAACATCCTAAAGGAAAAAAAGAAATCAGAGATAGAGTTAAAATCACATTATTTTAAAATGCAACTGGATGTTTTGCTCTAGGCATAAAGCAGAACTACTTCTAACTGCTATTACTTTCATGGAGTGGCCTTCCATGGGACTGAAAAAATGAGATGTGGCCACTGTGACCAGATGCTCTTTCTTACCTTTCTAAAATCCACTGCTTTGCAACTCAGAATAGTGTAGTGGAAAGGACATTGGTCTTGGAGTCATAGAATCTCAAATCAAAGGAGCCAAAAAGTGGAATGAAACTCAGAAGCCACCTAGTCCAATTCCTTCTACAACCTCCTCTAACAAGTGACGGCCGTGCCTCTGCGTCAATGCCTCCAATGATAATAATATAGCTAATATTAGTAGCTAGTTAGCATTTATATAGTACTTTCAGGTTTGCAAAGTACTTTATAAATATCTTATTTTATCTTCATGACAACCCTGGGAAGTAGGTATCATCATCACCATCATCATCATCATCATCATCATCTCCATTTTCCAGATGAAGAAACTGAGACAGAGACTAAGTGACTTGCCAAGGGTAGATCACATATCAAGTATTTAAGTATCTGAAGCTAGATTTGAACTCAAGTCTTCCTGATTCCAGGTCCAGCATCTATCCACTGTGACACCTGGATGCCATAATGAAAGGGAACTCATTAACTCCTAGGCAGCATATTCCATTTGGGGATAACTCTATTTGTTAGAAAGTTTTTGTTTTCATTTTTTTCCAGACATCCAACTTCAATCTGTCCCTCCACAACTTTCAGCCATTGTTCCCAGTTCTGCCCTGTGGGACCAAGTAGGACTAATATAGTTTCTCTCTCACGTGAATACATCCTTTTGAGTCTTCTCTTCCCGTTTGCTCTTCTCTTCCCTCTCCCCTTCTCTTTATATCCCTAGTTTCTTCAACTGATCTCCCAGTTGATAGTTTTGTTGTTGTTCAGTTGTTTTTCAGTCATGTCCAACTTTTTGTGATCCCATTTGGGGTTTTCTTGGCAATGATAATTGAATGGTTTGTCGTTTCCTTCTCCACCAGCTGACAGTGCCTCCCACTTAAAAATACCTTGTATTTAGTTGATACATATTCTGTATATGTGTACATGTTGTACACTTCTATATGTATGTGTTGTTTCCCCTGATAGAGTGTGAGATCCATGAGGACAATGACCATTTAATCTGTTTTTATTTATACCTAGTATATAGCTATCAGTACTGTAGGTATTTAAAAAAATGCTTAATTGATTAATTGATTGACTGGTTATGGAATATCCTTGATTGGTTTCTTGTCATCTTGGTTCATTCTTTAACATGCCTCAGTTCATCTGCATTTTTCCTGATGTATAATGTTGAACGTAGCAGCCCAGATGTGGTCCACTGAGGGCAGCAGACAGCAGAATTCTTATGTCCAACATTCTTCCCTTTATATCTCTCATCATAGCCAAGGAGAGCATTAGCTATTTTGACTGTCATATCATACTGTTGACTTAAGTTGAACTTGCAAAATAATAAGCCCATAGTTTATTTTCAGAATTCTTGTCAAAAATATACTTATCCTTAAGAGTTGATACTTGGAAAACAAGTATAGAACTTGACATTCATCCCTATTCATTTTCATTTTATTGGACTTATTCTCCCACTTTGTCCTCTTGAAATCCTTTTGGAACCAGAGTGCCACCTAATTATGTTAACTATACCACTAATACTTTGTGTTGCCCTCAACTTTCATACACACACCTTCTATGTTTTTATAGATCATTGATTAAACTTCTGGACAGCATGGGTCCAAGGAGAGGTCCCTAAAGTACCCCTCAAAAGAAAGATCTCCTTCCACATTGACAGTGACTGAATAATTACTCTTGTTCTGGTCTTTCAACTAGTTCCTAACTCACTTATTATGATCTATCTGGACCATTTCTCTCCATCTTTTCAACAAACACAACACAAAAGATTTTTGTCAAATGCTTTACTAAATGTTAGTATGCTATATATACAGCAGTTCTTTCATTTACCCATCTACTCACTAGGCCAAAAAAAAAAATCAGATTAGTTTGAGATGACCTATTCATAATGAAGTCATGTTAGCTTTTAATGCTTACCACTTCATATACTATTCCTTTAATGATGTGTTTTATAGTTTTGCCACAATTAGAAGCCAAACTCACTGGTCCATAATTTGTGGGATCTATTTTATTCCCTTTTTGAAAATGGAACAATATTGCCTTTCTCCAATCCTGAGGAACCTCTCCCATTCTTCACAATCTTCCAAAATTTGATGACATCATCTCAGCAATCACACCTGCCAGTTTTTCAGTAATCTTGGAAAGTGGTCTATAAATTTTTTGAACACATACCCCTATCATGAAACATTTTGGAGAAAGCATTGCGAATAAATGTATATTTATTCATTTAAAATTTATGTTCATGTGCTATTGATCTGGTATATTATGGACATTAAAACATATATGAAAATGAGCATTTTAAAAGAATAATATGTTGTTTGTCTTTCATATTCAAAGAGACCAATGACATCATGGGTGATATTCTGATTTGTGCATGAATTGGATTTAAGTGATACAGAGTTGCACAAAGTCATCAGCCTCACTCTCTCTTCCTGAGTAATTGAAGTCCAGTGGTAAGATAAAAATCAGAATGACTGGACTGGAGATGACTAAGGATGCAGTGGATGACCTTGGCATTTTCAATGTCTGATCAAGCTCTAAGTGCTCCACAGCACTTGCTTTAAGACGCCTTCATGGCCATTGAAAAAAATTGTTCTCATCCACCCATTCCTTTGATGCTTGGGGTGGTCCCCCTATCTCACTGACAAGTTTGAGGCCTGTGGTTACCTTCAACCTGGTTTAACCATCTGTTGAGACAGTTTACCAGAGTGTGGCCACTGCTCATGCCACAGTTTCTTGGAGCCACAGGTGAGAGTTGGGTGAAATCAGATAAACATCAAGGGTAGATAAGCAGCCATGAAAAGGGCTCAGCAAGCCCTCACACCAGAGGTGCTAGTCCTCCTAAACACCCTAAACATGCTAAAAAGATAAGATAAAGATGAAATGATTGATAGCTTTTCGCTAAATCTATTTTGGCAACCAAAAGGAGGACCTGAGTTTAAATCCCAGCTCTGATGCCTATTAGTTGTATAACCCCAGATAAATCCCTGAGGCCTCAGTTTCCTTACCTATAAAATGGGGATAGAAATACTTATTGTGTCTAACTCACAGAGTTGCTGTGGTGGAAATGCTTTATAAATCTTAAAGACTCATAGAAATGTAAACAGTTGCTATTATTCAATTGTTTGTTTGAAATAAACTGGTCCACTCTCTATGTCTTCAACAAACCATATTCATTCCAACTTCTATATTTTTGCTTATAACATTCTCCCTCCTTTAATACCCTTCATTGACACCTGTCCTTGCTGTTTCCACCCCTTCTGATAATTTCTTAACTCTTTGTATTCTGGCTTCTAGCCCCACAACTCAACTGAAACTCTTCTCTTCAAGGTTCCTAATCCACTCATTAACTTTTAAATCTGATGCTTTTTTGATTTATCTGTCTTCATTCTCCTTGATATCTTAACACTACTGGCTGCCCTCTACTAGGTTCTCCTCCTCTAAATCTGTTTACTTTTCCCAATCATCATCAATTTCTCTCCACCCTGCAAACTCTGTCCTGTGACCTCTTCTCTTCTCTATCTCTATTTGCTCTCTTGAGGACAGCGGCAGCAGCCACAGGTTCAAGTATAGTATCTGGCCATATGACTCATATTTCTACATATCCAGCCCTTACCTCTCTCCTAAACATTAGCTTTGTGTTGCCAACTACATGCTGGACAACTCTGCCTGGATGTCCTGTCACCATCTCAAAATTAATATATCCAAAATAGAGTTCATTATCTTCCCTATTAAACCCACCTCTCTTCCAGACCTTCCATTTCAAATGAATGCACTGAATTTTAGTCTCTGTAACTTCCACATAATCTCTAGCTCTTACCGCCTTCATCTCTCATCAACTCAGGTATCAGGTCTTTTTGATTTTACTTCTGTAACAAATCTCACATCCATCCCTGCTCTCCATTTATGAGGGCGCTATTGTAATAGGCTCTTATTTAGTCATCCTACTTTCAAACCCTCCCTTCCCCAAACCATCTTCCATGCAGCTACCAAAATCATCTTCCTAAGATGGAAGACTGTCTAAGCCACTTTGCTCTTCAAAAATCTTCCATGGTTTCCCATTGTCTCCAGGATAAAATGCAAACTTCTTAGCCTGTGGCATTGAAAGCTTTCCATAATCTGGTGCCAATTTACCTTTATATATTTATTTCATATTACTCCCTTCCAAAAATTTGACATTCCAGCCAAACTGAACTACAAGCTCTTTTTCCCAAACTTGGAATCCCATCTTCCATCTTCATGATTAAACAAATGCTTGGAGTGGACCTTCTGCCTCTCAGACACCTTACCTTCACTCAAGACTAAACTTAGATGTCATCTCCTACATGAAACCTTCCCAGATGGCCCCAGCTGTTAGTGCTCTCTCCTCCCTTCAAATTATCTTCTATTTAATTATCTATATATGTAATGTAATTTTATTTTTTGTATCCTGAACTTAACAAACACCACATAAATGAAAATTTCCTTATATAAAGTAGAACAGAAAAGGAGGATAGTACATGAAACTTCAAATACCTCTTATGTGTGCTCCATTAGGAGCACACTTCTTGAGGAGAAACTTTTTTTGCCTTACTTAATCCCAAAACTTTGCACAGTCACATAACATTTAATAAATAAGTGAATATATATAATTATATAAATATAATTATATATTAAACACACTTGCATATGAACATAAATATGCATAAATATTAAATATATAAATATGTTAAATAATTAAATATATTTAATATAAAAATAAATTAAATAATTAAATATAAATATAAAATAAATGTCATTAGTAAATGACTGATT